CCCCAAAACCCCAAAACCCCAAAACCCCTAAGCTAAGAATAAAAACATAAATTGTGAAATTTCTTGTAAAGATTATGTTTAGATTTTCTAAGTAAGTGATATAATTCCTATATTAATATATTTCTATCGTTTTATCATTAGTCATCATAAGGTTGTTTTTATTCTTCTTCTTATCCGTCAGGTGCTTGCTCCTCAAGCTAACTTTAATTATGTCTCTAACTTTATCTATCCTGATTGTCCACTTGCTAATTTTAGTCTTATCCTTCAATGTGATCGTTATCTTCTTCAACTTGAATCTAAGTCTGGAGGTTCTGCTAATCATCTTCATTTTGTAACAAGTCTACTTTACTCTAATCTTTCACATTAGGATTCTACTAGACACTTGCTCTTCTTGTTCCGTGAGATATTTGATCATCATCTCTACCTTTGGTTACAAAATCATCATGATCTTCACCCACAGTCTTCGAAATCAAATTATCATCTACATCTGCATTGTTTCCTCTGTGAGTCTCAGCCGGACCTTCATCTTCATCTTCCTCAACTTCCTATTTCAAATCCTCAGGCTAAAGTGTTGCTTCTTTAATTTCATCGACACCATCGCTTTTAGCTGTGGGGAGCTTTACACCTAATTTTGTTAGCATTGACTTAGCTTTATCATCTAGTCTTTTTAACATCTTTGCTCTTCTCATCTTTCTTTTGTAAAGTATCAGTATAATTAATGCAGCCACTAAGAATACAATGAGAACTCCAAAAACAATAACGAATGGCAAGACATATTTGTTGAAGCAGATTCCATTTTTCTGGCAAATAGTATCCTCGCAGCACTTAGACTCACATTCGTTACTGATGCTGCAACTTTACCCAGGATTTTTCAATTCACTGGTACAATAGGTCCTGTCAAAGCAATATGATCCCAGTGAGTCACTAGAGTCAAATCCAAGATCACAACATCCAGAGGCACAGTTGTGATTAAACACGCAAGAAGCTCCATTTGACAGGTTTATTCTCTTTTTCGTCAGAGTTTATGCGGTGTTGAATATTAAGAATAAAATTAAACTAAGTTAGAGGAGTATTGAAGGAAGTTTATTCATTTTTCTTTCACTCTATTATTATTAATATTTCACACTTTTCAAATTTTATTTATAATCTTTCCTTATGGGGTTTTGGGGTTTTGGGGTTTTGGGG